GTATTTGATCACTCCAGTATCTAAAGTCTTCGGGAGAGGTAGGTATAAACATGTCGTTTCTACCGACAAGCTTAGTGGTGTGTTTTGTTGTGTGATGATTTTTATTGTAACCTCATAGTTTATTGAGCTTAATATTTCCAAATACCGATAGTATAAATTGGAAGTGCATTGCTCCTGAGAAGATTTGCATATTCTTCTGCTGGGAACCTGGGATACTACACCTGGAAACAGTTTTATTTCTCTTCCAGGGTCTTGAGTTTAACAGGTCTGTCTCCGTTTCAGCTCTCTCATCTGGCCATAGCTCTTGTTGATTGGTGTTTGCCTTCTGAGCAACACTGCATTTTGTGTATGACATGGGTCACTTTTCTGGTTTCAGCTCAATTTGTAATTTTTTTTTGCCTTTTTTTGCCTTTTGGAAGGAATTCTTAGAGATTTTCTTTCCTTTCTAGAAAGCTCAACAATAGGTTAACAGTTAGGGTTTTGTTTGTTTGTTTGTTTTTGTTTTGTAACTTATAGAGTATCTATCATATTTTAGCAGAGGAGACTTTTCAGAATATCCGGTCTGCCATACTATTAGAAGTAGAAATTGGATGAGATTAAATTGCCATACTATTAGAAGTAGAAATTGGATGAGATACTGCAAAGTGTCAGTATAGGTACTTTATAAATATTAATTTCACTGTGCCTTATTTAACTTTTATTTTACCACCAATTTTGTCAGCATGCTTGACATAATAAAGTTGTTTTTTTGTTTTTTGGTTTTTTATTTTTTTGGTTTTTAAAATTTTTTTTGGTGGATACTTTCCACAGTCTTTTCTAATTTAAATTTAATATATAATATACAAATTTTAAACTGCTATATTTATTTTGTTACTTATCACTTCATAGGAAAAAGTATTCATTTCTATTTTCTGTTTTTCTGAAAATATGATGTTAAGGGAAGATTTAACTTTGTTGTTGTATATGGGGGAGAATGTCTTATGGAAGATTAAACCTGTAGGGGTGCCTGGGTGGCTCAGCCGGCTAAGCGTCCAACTTCGGCTTAGGTCATGATCTCACAGCTCGTGAGTTCAAGGCCCGCGTCGGGCTCTGTGCTGATAGCTTGGAGCCTGGAGCCTGCTTCAGATTGTGTCTCCCTCTCTCTGCTCCTCCCACACTCGTGCCATGTCTCTGTCTCTCAAAAGTAAATAAACATTAAAAAAAAAAGATTAAACCTGTAGAAATTGATACTCAATAAAGATCCAAAGAAATTCCAGTAATTTCTTTTGCTTGGCAATTAACATTTGGCATATGTAGAGCAGTGATTCTCAACTGGAGGCATTTTGTGCATTAGGGGAGTTTTGGCAATGTCTGGAAACATTTTTCATTGTCCCTTGTGGTTTGAGGATGTACTGATATTCAGTGGGTAGAGGTTGGAGATGCTGCAATCCTACAATGCACAGAACAGCCCCCTCACAATAGTTACCTGGCCCCAAATGTCAATAGTGCGAAAGTCGAGAAAACCTGGACTTAGAGAAATAAAGTGAAGATAAGGTGTCAATGCTGGTGGTATATTTGGGAGGAAAGGCTTTCCAGGCTTTTTTTTCTTTTTTCTTTTTTTAGAAAAACTGAAAGAAAGCCTTAGGAACACTGTTTTCTCCTTCCCATATTTTCTTTCTCTAATTCTTAAGCACTGGCATTCACATCTATACAGCAAGGACTCAGAGTCCAAACTTTTTGACTACTGCTGCTAATCAGTTGGACTCTCTCATTATTTCTTGCTGTTTTTTTCCCCTATTATAGAATAATACATATTCATTGTGGAAAACTTGGAGAGAATAGGAAATTATAAATAGAAAAAAAATCATCCTATCATTTATATGCAAGGACTGTTAACATTTGGGGGTATTTGGTTTGTCTGTTTTCTTTGTAGATAGATTTTATGTAGTTCTGAGAATACTATGTAAGTTTCATCTTAAAAAATTAAAACATAACCATAAGTATGAATAATGTTTAGTGTTATTGTTATTTATGTAACCACTTCCCTTTGATATTGTAGTGTTTCTGATGTTTTCTTATGAATAATGTTTGATGAACATCTTGTATGTAATTAGCTGTGTTTCAAATTCCTTCTTTAGAATAGATACTTAAAGGGTACTTATGGGTCAAAAGGTGTGAGTGAGGTTCTTGCTAACAAATTGGTGAATTTATCCTACCATACTGTATGAGACCACCTATTTTCATTTTAGACTTAATCACTTTTTTTAACCAAACTATTACATTAAAAAAATTGTTTTTAATGTTTGTTTATTTATTTATTTATTTATTTATTTATTTATTTATTTATTTTTGAGAGAAAGAGAGACAGAGTGTAAGTGGAGGAGGGTCAGAGAGGGAGGAAGACACAGAATCTGAAGTAGGCTCCAGGTTCTGACCTGTCAGCACAGAACCCCTCGCGGAGCTTGAACTCATGAACCGCGAGATTACGACTTGAGCCCATGTCAGACGCTTAACTGCCTCAGCCACCTAGGCACCGCTAACCAAACTATTTTATAAGCCTTTAATATCTATACGAAGCTTTTGGAGGCCAAAAGGGGAAAATCATTGTCTATCCTTGCATTGAGACTAGAGTTAATCTGCCTGAGTCAATGGAATATAAAAGAGCAATTAGAGAAATCAACATGAACACATGTAAAGTTTCCTTGGAGCGACTCAATTTATGTAATTATTGTGGCCTCGCAAAATTGTATCTTCTAGTTGTGCAAATTGACTCCTATTTTAAATGCACTGAGTCAGCTCACTTAAAGAAGTCCTAGAGTAAGTGTTGTTAAGTAGAAAAAAAATGTCCTTTCATAGTTTGGTTATGAGTTCATTGTGGTTGTATTTGTTTCATAAGTTCAAAATTTTGTCACTTATTTAAGTAAAATGAATACCTTCTTCATGCATAAACCGACCCTGTGATACCATAGGGTCTTGAGATCTGGGAATGACTTAGCTATACACTGTACTGTCATGAGATTACATCTGTAAAATAGAACTAAAAACGAGCTTTAGAAAGAAAAAAGAATCGGGTTTCCTCATTTAATGAGTTGAGAAATACAGGAGTGTAATTCTTTGCTTGAAAATTTTCTTATCCAAAGCATAGCCCCTGGTAAGCAGTGTTTGACACTTCCTCATTAGGAAATTATTCCTTTGCCTTTGCCTTTTTTAAAAAGGATACTGTAAGGGAGGTGGAAAGGTGAAGGGTTGACTGGAGCAAGGACAGAGGTATTAGCAAATAAGGGGAGACCAAGTTGCTAAGTGAGAGGGAAGGAGTTGTGGAACTTAAGAGAACAGTAAGTTAATTTGTTCTTAAATTATTTTGAACAAGGTGGGATGTAAATACACATCGTAAGTTAATACGCTTCCCTGAAAATGGTGAATCTAGTCTTGTTCTCATAATACAGATGAATCGGAAAACAAAGCGTATTGCTTTACATGAATAATGCCTTTCCTACATTTTCACTTTTGGAAATTTAGGAGATGTTTTTAAACCCTTAATTTGTGATTACACATTTACTTGAAACTAATTCATACTGTAGTTGTTTCTTCATTAGTTAAGTTTGAAAGTTTTACAAGGATGAAATTGCTGTGTTCAATTTCTCCTACTGTGCAGTCCTTATTTCTGTATCTTATGACTTAACCAAGAGCTAGAAGTAAACGAATTAGTTTAAAACTTAAAAACAGCAACAATACCCAACTTAACGTTTCCCCAACTTCAAAACATGAAACCTAAAGTGCTCTGTCATAATTCAAAGCATTACTTGAAAGATGTGCCATCTATCTCTGACTGTTCTGTCAGGGAGCGAGAAGGAGCAGGACATGAAAATTGAGGAGCATCTGTTAATTCTGAGTTCCTTACTGTTTTGGCTTATAATACTGTGAATTTGTAGGGTTATTGTATAATATTTAATTATTCGGAATGTTTCCAGGTTACTTTTGAAAGACTTCTGGCTCATATATTATTTTACATCTTTGTTAAATCTCTCAGCATAGGAGTCTGCAAGATGACTGTGATAAATTATGTAAAAATATTAATAATCTGCTCTAGACCCTGGGTTCCCAATGAGGCCTTTACCGGAGGACATGACTCAAACGTAATTAGATGAAACTTTGCATAGATTACTTGTTACTTTGCATAGATTATTTAACCCTTATTTTTGTGGGTTGAGTAGGTCACTTTGGGCAAAATGTAAATAGTTTTTATTCTTCTTTGAGTGCATTTCTATTCAGTTTTTTACGTGCATTGTAAACATCAAGAAGCGCAGAGATAAAGTCCTTTTAAGGCCACCTATACAGAAAAGACTTTAAGGTTGTAAAAGAACTTAACAGGCATTTTTAATCTTGAGTCCAGGCATTTCTTGAGTCCCTTTATGTCTCTTTGGTTTCGTCTTGAATGCTTACTGCCTTCTGAGATGATTGAAAATATCCTTTTATTATAAATTTTTGTTTGAATTGATGGGAGAGGTGGGACTTCATTCTTACAGGTTAATCATTTCCAGTTTTCTTGGGTTAGTTTTCAGTTTTCAAATCAGCCTCAAGCTTAAAGGTAGTAGCTATTTGATTAGAATATTTGTATAGCTCCAGACCTCTAACAAACCATTGTCATTTTCTTAGGAAATGTGAAAATATTTAAATGATTAATTGCTTTTTGAATTCTTTACCATAGAGCTCTTACGTAGTCCTGTCCTTCCATTAGAAACACACTAAAGCAACTTTTGTATTTCCAAGAAGCTCATGTATTACAGGTACTATGTATTCCTAATTAGATAGTTACCTGAATTTATCTTTAAATATATTATTTAGTGTGAATCTGACTTATCTTGACATATCTATTGTGGAGATTAATAATAAAATAATTTTTAAATACTTTTAGTTTATGGAGTGAACTGTTCTACGTTTAAATGCACTAATTAAAAATGTTTTACATTGATGTGTAATTTTTAAGATATAGTAACTTTGTAAAATATTTTATCTTCTAGGAGAGGGTTAAATCCACCACACAGGGTGAAATCTATCTCCATGACAACATTCACACAACAGGAAATTGAATTTCTGCAGAAACATGGAAATGAAGTAAGTGTTTTTACAATTTTTAACTTTCTTGTTGGCAGTCGTTTTAATAAGGTTTAATAAGTTGTTTAGAATGGTGGATTTCACTGTGGAGGGGTGCTGCCTGAGTGGTTCTTGTCGGTTAAGTGTCCGACTTCGGCTCAGGTCATGATCTCAGGGTTCGTGAGTTTGAGCCCCGCATCGGGCTCTCTGCTGTCAGCAGACACCCTGCTTCAGATTATTTGTTCCCCTCTCTCTCTCTGACCGTCCCCCGTGCTCGCTCGCTCGCTCTCCAAAATAAACAAACATTAAAAAATAAAAGATGGTGGATTTCACTGTTTAAAAAGTTATTTTCACACAAAAATAACTTTTAGTAATGTACTCATTTAGTAATGTACTTAGAATTAATATCTACTGCAAAAATACCTTTATCCTGAAGTGAAACATGTATCTAAAGTTCATCAGTGTTGAATGTAAAAGCCATTTTTGGAAGACATCTAGTATGGGGGTAATTGTTAGTGTTTACTTTAAAAGACCAAAAGAGTAAACTTTTGTTAGGCCATTGTGTAATCACCTTTTGCTTGAGGTCCCCTCCTATCTTTTTATTATATGTTGAACTTTGTGTTGAGCAGGTGCTGGGTAGGGAGGAGGCTGGCAGTGCTGGGGGAGAGCCCAGCATGAAGGGGAGCCCAAGAAGAACTTGGAGAGGAGCTGTTTCATTCTAACTCTGTTTTAATGGGCTTCCAGCAATGCCATTCTGTTTTGTTTGCTTTCTTGTTTTTAGTTCTATGTTTTTACCATGTGTTCATGAAAGTGGTGATCTGGCATTGAAAAAACTATAAAATTGACCCAAAAAATTATTTCATTACTTCATGGAAAGGAAATAATTACTTTAGTTATACTATTCTGTTTGCATATTTTTGATATGAGACAGAAAAAAGTTGTTTTAGTATTTTATTCATTTTAATTGTTCACCCTCAGAATATATGTAGGTATTTTTACTTGCCTCTCTTTCTTCCTTAAGCAAGTAATATCTTAAACTTGCTTGCCTACTTGTTTCGCACGTCTGATTTTGGCTCTAAAACAGCAAAGAGGTATAAATTCAAGATTATGAGATATTTTTAAACGCATGATTCAGAGAAGTGAGCACACTTTGAAGTCTCCCAAATTTTGCTGATAAAAAATTATTTTGTGGAATCAAGTTTCAGACTGACGTGGGAAAATCTAAAGCTAGGAGAAAGGGCAGAAGATTTGTAATGACAGTACAGAATAATATATTTACTGATTAAAATATAATTTGAATTGTTTATATAAAGTTTGGGATTAAACTAGCAGTGCAAACTTTTAATTACACTCTTAGAATGTTGGCCTAGTATGGAAAATTTTGGATATCTGAAATAGGGAGTCAGAAATAAAATATTATTGCTCTTAGATGAAAAATCTATGATCATAGGTAACGTCAGAGAAATAGAACTAAAAAGGTGACAGTCTATTGGAGAGGCTAGGTAAAAACATCTGCACCTGTCAGTAAGTAGCTAAGGTTAGGTGAAGATTGGCCTCAAAATACAAGAGTGATTGTGATAAGAACATTCAACATAAGATCTCCTCTCTGAAAACAATTTTAAGTGTCAATACAGTATTCTCACCTGTAGGCATAGTGTTGTACATTAGATCTCTGGAACTTACTCATCTTGTATGAATGAACTTTATACCCACTGCATAGCAGCTCCCCATTTCCCTTCCCAGCTCCTGTCAACTGCCATTCTACTTTTTGCTTCAGTGAGTTTGACTGTTTTAGATGCCTCATGTGAGTGGAATCATACGGTATTTGTCCTTCTGTGACTGGCTTATTTCACTTAGCATAGCGTCCTCAAAGTTCACCCATGTTGTTGAATATGGCAGTTTTTAAGATGGACATCAAAATAAATTCAGAATATAGGCAAGGAAACAATTTTAGGCAACTCATATCAAAAAGTGGAAACAGGGATGCCTCGGTGGTTCAGTTGGTTAAGCGTCCAACTTCGGCTCAGGTCATGATCTCGCGGTTCGTGAGTTTGAGCCCCACGTCGGGCTCTGTGCGTACAGCTCAGAGCCTGCTTTGGATTCTGTGTCTCCCTCTCTCTCTGCCCCTCCCCCACTCACAATCTGACCCTCTCTGTCTCAAAAAAAAAATTGAAGAAAAAAGTAGAAACAAAATATGAATGTTAGAGATGACTGGAATGGGTTCATGGATTTTAAGTCCTGAAAAGAGCCATGCAGACTGATAGGCCACTTAAAGCCCTTGCCAGGGCAGTCACTGTGCGAGGTGCTGTGGGTGTGCGAGGTACTGTGGGTGCAGTTATGGGTGTGTCTCAGAGGCTTAGCTGACATAGAGCTTACAGTGTAGTTGGAGAGGCAGATATGTAACAGTTATAGCATATGTTAGATAACTAATGACAAGAATAAGAAGTATCAGAAATAATCTGGAAGGACAGATTCAAACTGTGGGTGAAAAGGAAAGAATTGGGAAGATCTCATAGAGGTAAAACATTTAGGACCTGAGCTGGCAGGAAAAGAGATTTGTTCGTTTTTAAGTTTATTTCTTTCTTTATTTTTAAGTGATCTTGACACCCGATGTGGGGCTTGAACTTATGACTCTAAGATCAGAAGTTGCATGCTCTTTTGACTGAGCAAACCAGGCGCCCTGTGGCAGGAAAAGATATTGAAGGCAGAGCAAACACATTGCACAAAGAGAAAGGGAAATTTACTATAGTTCGTACTGTTAGAAAATATACCAACCTTTTAAATACTTGTTAAGGAAGACACACATAGTTTCTTGTGTCCCTAAGAACATCTTAGAATCAAAGTCTTGGGCTAGGTATATTTAATTCTTACTAATATTAACAGTATCTGTGCTCTTAAAAACTTAAGAGGTGCTTACTTAGAAGGTAAGGATTGATACTATAAAGTGCAGGATGGTCAGCACAGCCTAGCAAAAACTTGATAGACTTCCAAGTGCAGGTGCTCTGTTATCACTTTATCTTATGTAAACATTTAAATATTAAGTTTAACATGCATAGAGAAAGCATGCAAATGTTAATTTTTCATTTTAAAACATGTTGCCATATTCCAACTGTGTGTCACTGTGTTTGAGGACCATCCTCAATCACATATATTTTGGATTAAAAAGGCCCTGCCCGTCTTACGTAATGTGCATGAAGGGGTCATACCTGAGGATGAGTGTTTCATCAGTTAAAAGAGAGTATATTGACTGGCGGCGGTCCTGGGGTCTCCTCCCTCCTGGGGTTAGTGTTCTGAGGGTCAGTTAGCTGGTCCTGATTGGAGGGTGCAGGCTTACGCAGGTAAGCATGGTGGTTGTTGAATGACTCAGCAACCCGTGTGTTGAACAGAATTCACCTACATTGCGCATGCTTTCAGTGTTCCTCCAGACATTTCTATGTGGGAAAACCTGTTTACAGTCATCTGAGTGTATAACTTCAATCTGTTGTAATGCTTGCATTACAGTTGTGAACAGCTTGCCAAAGGAAGTCATGCTGCCAAATTCAGGATAAAGAGTAGGAGGGGACCGCCAAGTTACAGGGCAAAGGGCACGGATTCAGGGAATCCGTTTCATTCACCATCAGCGCAGTGGCCTAACACATGTGCATCTCTAGGGAAGATTTCGCTTTTCATTCAGACCCGTGTTAAGAATTGTTCATTGGTTTTGGAAAATCACAGAACTGATGGCAGCACCACTTATGGTATTTGAGTGATTAATAAAGCTCATCTGTCTTGGTCTGCGAGCTGTGGTAAGCAAATACTGTTATTACCGTTTATAAATGTGTATCAAGGACATGCTTAATATTTATTACGTTATATCATTAGCTTCTACGGATGTGGTTTACGAAGTACTTGAACATTACTTTAGTGTTCTGAGACTCCTGCGGAGCACATGTGTATGTTATTATCTTATAGAACATAATGTGCCAGATGTCAGTACAATATTTTTCAGCAAAGCACCTTGTATTTATTATTTGCAGAAATACTTTTGACATTTTTTTCAGAAGTAAAGTGTTTTACAAAAAATTTCTATATGCTGTATTTACCTAGTAGCACTTTTCTATCATGATGTTAACTTAAAAAAAAATCTTTAGTTGTTTCCTCCATATATCCTCTTTTGTGATATTGTGTGTAATTTATGGTCCTCTAGCTGAGGGAATTTCACTACTGGGTTAAATCCTGATTATCAAAGTTAATGGAAGCAGGGCTGGTGATCAGTGCTCTAGAAATTCAATAAAAAGAAAATGTATTAGTAATTTTATTTTGAAACATCAGTTTTTCTTTTCTAGGAGCAAATTAACTCTCCTTAATTTTGTTTTAGGCCTGAGAATGAAAGAGTCACTATTGATGCTCCACAGGCACATACAGTCTACATGTAGAAATAAAATCATTTAATAGACAATATTTGATTATTTTTATGCTAGATTATAAAAATAACCCCCAAAACAAACTACTGCTTTAAGAAAGAAAAAAAAAAAAACTTTCTAAAACAATTGGCCCTTATAAAGTAAGGTGCTCTTTTCTCTTGTTCACATTTATGATGGATTCATTTTTCATTCTTAAGAGAGATTTATTAATCACCTGCTGTGTACCAAGGACTGTCCCTGGGTGCTAGAGATAGAGTGACAAGCAAAAGCAGACAGGACTTGCCCTCACGTAAAGCTTGGAGTTTAGTGGGGGGAGACAGACAACAAAAATCATTTTTTGCCAATTCCATTTTGGTTTAAGACAGAGAGGGCTTCAGTGGTAGTTGTAGATGCTTTTGGGAGTGTGGAGATGAGGATTTTTCAGGACGTTATACTTATGATTAAATAGGCCTTAGTTTATGAGATAAGCTATTGAGAGTTTTTGGGCAATTAAATTGCATCTTTGGGAGAGATTGGGGCCATTTATAACAGGAAACAAACACTGTCACACAAAAAATATTTTTGTTTCTAAAAAAATTTTAAATTCCAAATTCACATGCTCGGACAGTTTTTCTGGAA